ATGACATCACCCACCAGCAGTTTCCTCATTGCTGATTGTGAGGCTAACTTATGTCTGTAGGATCACAAAGAGCAGTTTACTGTTTAAGTAATTCTTATTTTGTTCTGAAGTTCCTTGTAATCAGTTACTATGTTATTATTGATCAAATGGTCTTGTGAAGTAGAATATTAATTATTTGCACATCAATGATAACTTCACTGTTTTATGCAGAAAGAAAACGGTTCTCTTAATCACTGTAAGAACTGTGAGACACTGACTTGTCTTTTCGTTTTCTTAAAGTCCAAAGTTTGTGGTTTAATCAAGGAAAATCAAATTTTTTTCTTTTCCTTTAAGTAAGAGATCCATTTGCAGTAGTGGCAAACCAATCTTTTTTCTCTTGTACTTACCCAGTAGCTTTATCCGTTCAAATTGCAATCACAGGAAGCATTAGCTCAAGTTGGGGTTGGTGCCTTCGGAGTTTCTAGCTGTCAGACATGGCCTGCTGGTTCTGCCTCCTTGACACTGAACTTGAGAATTTGCACTGTTAGTGGACACCACTTGTCCATTGGTGGTGGCCAGAAGCTTCACACCTCTCTTAGGGCTTGGAAGTAGCTTGTCTAACCTGCCATTTTGCCAGAACTAGAGCTAACCCATGTCTTTGGCTTACCAAAATACCATGAACATTTTACCATCTGATTAAATGTCCTTTTCAAACACAGTGCTATTACGATGTCCAGTGGTATGCCATCATTAGCATTTGCCCTGTCCCCCATTTTAGAACATTTAGATTAGCACCGATTTTCTGCTATTATAAGTAACAACATTATAGTGAACGTTCTTATGTTACATTTTTATATTATTTCAGAATATTTCTAGAACTACATTTGGGAGATGAAAATATACACTTTCATAGCTTACATATTTTCAATTTCCTTAAAGGAAATTATATCAACTTTTTTTTCGGTTTTAAGAGGTTATGTTTCCTTTTTTAACCTTTCTTTATTGGTACATTATAATTATACATAAACTGGGAATCAAGCCGGGCATGGTGGCACATGCCTATTTATCCTAGCAGCTCAGAAGGCTGAGGCAGGAAGACAGCAAGTTCAATGAGGTCATCAGATTCTATCACCAAACCTTGGTTATTTCCTTTTTGCAAAAACACTTAAAAATGAGTACATTATGCATGCAGTTTTCTTGTGTTGCTCTTTAATTTTGAGTGAATGCATTTTTAAATAGAGAATGCAGCTTCTGAGTAGCACAGATCCTGCTCTGAATGTGCTCCTTTCTCACTCTTATCTTCCTTGTGTCTACAAAAGTGAAAGAAAAGTATCAGGCATTATTAAGGAAAAAATCAGAATGTTACCTTTAAATTTACCTGAACTGAAATATTTATTCCCCTAGAACCATATCTGCACATTTTTAGTGTTATTTTGAAAAGTAAAATTCAGGAAAGATGCTTACTTTGAGTTGACACTCTGACCTGCTAGGGGCAGTGAAGGGTATTCCTCCAGCCCCTCACTCCAGATGGTTAGGAAAGGGGTGGATCTCGCCCTGCCCTGCTGACTTCCTGGAGCAGAGCTGGCGCTCTAGGGTACCACGAAGGCTCCTGATTAACTTTACTTTGCTTCCTTAAAGTGCTTTCAAGACTATCAGATATTGAGTAGCTGTTTTAAAGATTGGGAGCAATGGTAGGGAAAGCTGGCTGTGAGGTTTTATAGGACTTCACCTAGAATTAGGTATGAAGGAAAGAAAAGGAGGTTCCCCCCCCCCCACACACACACACAGTGGAAGTGCTGGGCAGAGTATTGGCCAAACTGTGTGGTTACATTGTGTGCATGTAACAACAGATCCCATCATTATGTACAACTATAATGCACCAATAAAAAGTGTGGAAAGAAAAAAGAAAAAGAACCCCCCTCCACAGAGACCCCTCCACAGCTCTTCTCCTTCAATACAGGACAGTGGAGGAGGGGCCAGGCCGAAGGGGGCCATTGCAGGCTGTGAGCCCAGTGGCCACTCCCCCCACTGACCACACTTTCTCACATTGGTTAGTTTTCTTTGAAATTTTAACATTTATGGTATTAAGACTATTGATCTCTTTGCTTGCTTAAAAAAGACTTCACTCTGACAGGCTTTATTTAGAGAGCTTTCCCCCCCCCCCCCCAGAGTTTTCTTTAAAAAATAAGGGTGGTAATATCTTCAAGAGACAAAGCTTAGCTTTATAATTAGGTTCTGCCTGTAAATAAAGAAATGGGAGGGCTGGGGATGTGGCTCAAGCGGTAGCGCGCTTGCCTGGCATGCGTGCGGCCCGGGTTCGATCCTCAGCACCACATACAAAGATGTTGTGTCCGCCGAAAACTAAAAAATAAATATTAAAATTCTCTCTCTTAAAAAAAAAAAAGAAGAAATGGGATCTGTTTCTCTCTTGACACTAACAGAGGAAACAGCATGTAAAATTGGACTTCAAACACATTGTTAGCTGGGCACAGCAGCGCAGGCCTGTCATACCAGCTGCTCCAGAGGCTGAGACAGGAGGATTCCAAGTTCGAGGCCAGCTTCAGCAATTTAGCAACACCCTGTATCAAAATTTAGAAATGAAAATAAAAAGGGCTTGGAAAGGAACAATTCCCACTACTGCAGAAAAAGTTCCTGCGGAAGGTGGGCAGGAGTGCGTGGGGCCAGGGAGGGTTTTCCGGGTCTCCATCGTGTAGTCTTGTGCAGGACATTGCAGGGAGGTGCTGCTCCTCGCTCCTTTTTTTCTTTTCCTAAGACGTGCTTTTGGCTGCTGTCCCCTTTTGAGCTCCATAAGCAGGAGTCCTTCTCTCTGCTGGCTGGCTGCATGTCCCGGTTGCTGTGGCCTGTGGCACATGTGGATGGGGTGTGACCTTCACTGCTTGGCTGCTCTTCCTGGCCTGTCCCAGGAATGGGGAAGCCACTGCTAAAACCTGCAGGTGCCCTCTGCCTCCCTTTGTGGCCTTTCTCCTTCTCCTGATCTTGGACCAGATTCTTTACCTTGTAACTGAGTTGCAACTGATGATTTCAGCATGAAGTTTCAGGGGAGGCCCCTCTTTGGTAACTGACTAATTCTTAAAGTCACCTGAGCTGGGAAGGTCAAAGGGAATTTTCACTACCTCACAAAGTCATGGATGAGCAGATTTACCTAATATTCTTCCTTCTGTATTTAAAATATTTAGTGGTATTTCATAGATATTATAGTGAAATTTAGTTGTTTTCTAGTTAATGTATTTTCTGTCACAAAGTAGAAAATATTTCTTGGATAAATATGGTACCTTATTAAGGTTTGCATTAAAGCCAATTAAGGTCCCTTCTCACTGGTAACAGGAATTTGAATTTTACTTGGTGCACCGTAGGCATTTTTCTAGACTTATGATGCTCGGTAAATGTTTACTTTCATCCATTCCTTCAGCTAATATTTACTCATTACTACTAAGTCATGGGTTTGCTACTAAGCACACAGCAGTGAGCAGGACGACCCAGCATCTGCCAATGGGGCTTACCATCTAGTACTTGGGTTCGATATTCCTGAGTGTGCCTCTCAGTCCTTCCAGTAACATTGTGGAGAAGAGGTGTCATGCCCCCTCACCAGTGGTGGAGCTGAAATACTTGCCCCATGCCACTCAGTGGGCCCGACCTGGGACACACACCCAGAGCTGTCTAACTCAGGCCCTCTGGGTGTCTCCCCTGCTTTGAACCTTTGAGTTGTGATGTGGAGCCGTTGGGAGTCGTGTGTTCTTAGCAGCCTGGGAGTGCTGACGGGCAGGACCTCTCCCTTCCTCAGGAGGAGACTCTGCCCAGGTCGTCCAGTGGCAGCAGCGCGTCGCCCTCCTTCCTCGAGGACCCAGCGCTGGAGGCCACGTGCGTGAGGAAGAGTGAGTACCCAGGGCACACGTGGCCCAGACCAAGGAACCCAGAGCTCCCTGTGACCTTCGGGGTGTAAAGCCCCAACCCTGGGTCTCACCATCACAAGCAGGAACACCTGGCTACTTTCTTAGCTGCCCTCCAGAGGTAGGCTAACCTGGTCGCTGGCCTCAGTTCTAATGTGGAGCAGGTGGGGCACGTTTGAGTGTGACAGATAATGTCGGAAATAAGTCCTCGAGGGGTGTGCCTATCTTAGATTAATTACCTCATCTGAATTTGAGCAGTAAGCCCTAAATAATCATATTTGTCCCTTCTGGGGGACACACACACACCCCCACCTTCATTCATGCACGTGAACGTGCTTCCAGAAGATACCATAGGAGAATTTAGTAGATTCTGAACACAGAATCTACAGGCAGTAGATTTGGAACACAGATACCTAAATGAAGGTATTGATTTCTAAAGGCTTTCAGTAATCTTTTACCCATAAGATTATTATAAAGAACTGAAAGTTAATTACATATTAAGAGTCTTTTGACTTCTTGTGCACCAGAGAGCTTAGTGGTTAAAATTCTTTACATAGCATTTCAGTTACTTAAAAAGATTATTAAAAAAAAAAAATCAGGAAGTGGTTTGGGTTACTATGTGTAATTAGTATTTGGTGAGGCCCAGCATAAGGGACCCAGTTCAGCCACAGGAGGGATTTCTGCATCTTTCTCGACTGCTGTCTCGTAAGGGGATGGTGCAAGTTGGTGGGTCTCGTTTGACTCTGTTGGCCCTGCTGACCCACCCACTGGCTGAAGCAGCCCTCCTTTGCAGTAGAGCAGGAGGGGGTACTCAATCAGACTGTCAGGATGACTTATTTCTAATGTTCTCCTTGTGCTTTCAAAGGGTGAATCCAGCACCATTCAGCCTTGAAAAATTCTTTCACGCCGTTTCCCAAAATACTACTAGGCAGAGGAGCAGCGGCTACAATGTTAACATCAAGCTTAATTTTTTTTGTTTGCAATTTAAATACAATTTAAACCTAAGAATAAAATATCTGAATAAACATGTAGTACAAAAGGTTTTCATATTCTATCTTTATAAGGGAGAATGTAAAAAGAAAGAGGATGCACTTAAGAATTCTGGGATGGTTTGGGAGCTTTTTTGGCTATACAGAATACATATTTTTGCATGTTTTTAAAATAATGCCGGAGATGTGAATTGTAAGACTAGATCCAGGAGTGTGCTGTGCTGTGCTGTGCTGTGCTTCCTCATGTGAATTTGACGGAGTGTTCAGAACAGGTTTTCCTTCTCCTTGCCACTTGGCTGGGAGTCCCTCGGGGTCCCCCTTAATCTGGCCACCACCGGCCTGCAGTCTCTCCTGGAACGCGGTGCTGTCACATTGACAGGGCTCTCCGTCGGAAAGTCAAGGCCTAAGATTTCTGTTCTGTAAGAGAGTCCTTTGTTGGGTTCGCCTGCAGAGCCCCCAGAGTTCCTGCCCATGTCGTCCACCCCGCAGCCTGAGCGTCGGCAGCCGCCCCAGCGCCGGCACTCCATCGAGAAGGAGACGCCCACCAACGTGAGGCAGTTCCTGCCCCCGACCCGGCAGAGCTCCCGCTCCCTGGTGAGTACCGGCTCCCAGCCCCCCAGAGACCTGGAGTCAGTGGCTTTCTTCCAAAATGATAAGGAGAAAAACTTCCCAAAGGTTAAAATGAACTCCAAGTAACTTACTCTGTATGTGAAGAAAATAGGCGCCAACCTGAGTGAAATCCCCAGAATATTTATCAGTGTATTATTATTAAGGAAATGCTTTCTTTCAAAGGACATTAATTCATTTAAAATTGTTAAAGGCTAATCTAGAAATTCTTAGCAAAATCTGACCACAGTAGAGGATTGTATTGGAACAGAAGGGCTAGGAAAATTTTGACCCATGTATAACCATTGTACATTGTTTTCTAGTATGTTCTGTGATATTGGGCCAAAGCTGCTATTTGGATTGGTTAACAGTTTCTGCTATTTTCCAGAGCATCCAGGTTTGTTTGTTTCGGTTGTATGACCGGGGATCCAACCCAGGTGTGCTCTACCTCTGAGCTACATCTCTGGGCCTTCTGATTTTTATTTTGAGACAGGGTCTCACTGTGTTGCCCAGGCTGGTGTTAAACTTGAGATTCTCCTGCCTCTGACCCCCAAGTAGCTGGCATTGCAAGTGTGTGCCACCGTGTCTGCCTGATTATCTCGTTCACATAGTGGCTACTCACTTCTCAGGACATGGGACAGCATGTTAGTGCCTGCCAGGAAAAATTAATAGATCAGCCAGCCAAAGGAGGCCTGTGTAGATTCTTTTTAGCCCCCTTACATGGGGCGTGCGGCATGTAAGGCTTCAGTTTTCTACCCACAACCTAATATCTAATGTTTTTCCAAGTACTCAGAATAGAAATCACCACCATATCCTTACCCCCACTTTGGGGCTGTGATGGATGTGAGAGTTTTCAGTGAAGCAGCAGCAGATGTCCCTCAGGGTAGGGGGGGAGTGGTCATTGTGACCACAGGGAGTTTTTGTTTTTTTTTTTTTTAATTTTTTTTTTTTTTATTGAGAGAGAGAGAGAGAGAGAATTTCAATATTTATTTTTCAGTTTTTGGCGTACACAACATCTTTGTTTGTATGTGGTGCTGAGGATCGAACCCGGGTCACACGCATGCCAGGCACTACCGCTTGAGCCACATCCCCAGCCCCCCCACAGGGAGTTTGAGCAGAGCTGAGAGCTGACGTGAAAGCTGAAGTGGGATCAGTCTTCTCTGTTTTCAAACAATGCAGTGAAAGAACAAACGATGTTATGGTTGTTCCTCAGGAGGCTCCCCTAACCTCTAAATAAGCACGAAGCACTGCTGTTGGATCAGATGTAGCCTTGCTGTGCTCCTCAGCAGAGAAGCAGAACTCTGGCCATAATTCAAACCTTAAATCCAGACTTTTGCCAAGTGCAGGGGTGTAATCCCGGTGGCTCTGCGGCTGAGGCAGGAGGATGGCAAGTTCAAGGCCAGCCTCAGCAGCTTAGCAAGGCCCTGTGCAACTTAGCAAGACCCTTTCTCAAAATTAAAAAAAAATAAAAGGGGGAGGGGTGGTGCTGGGGACATGGCTTAGTAGTTGAACACTCCTGGGTTCAATCCCTGGTACCAAAAAATAAATAAAGTCCAGACTCTCAATAACATGATTAGTTATTGTCACAATCTAAACACATAAGCAGGAGTTCTCCGGGATGTTTGGCTGGTCTGATAATTAGGATATTCTTTTCTTTGCCCTGAGGTTAGACTCAAACTAAAGGAACTACAGAGCAACTAAAAGTAGTTCCACCTAATAAGAGAAGTACCAGGACCCTCAGCCCAACAAGGGCTCCTGTGTGCTTGGTCCTGAGGTGGGCTGTTCCTTTGTGGGTAGGAAGGAGATCAAGACAAACTTCCTTTGCAGGCACTGAGAATGGCCTGAGGGACAGGCAGCAGGAGAGCAGCTCTGCTGACGCAGAGGGCATGCAGGTTGGAGGACAGGGAGGGCATGTGCAGCCTGGAGGACATCCTCGGCCCCACCTGGGCCACCGGCTAAGGCAGAGGAACTTCCAGCTCCAGGCAGAGACTTCCCACTAGCAGCTTATCTTGGGAAATCCACAGAATCACACTTCTGTAGCAGTTCACTCTAGCTTGATTGGGACCTTTTCTCAAAGTGTGGTCATCAGTTTAAAATTGTGTCTGCATTTTAGAAAACAAGGAATCACTGTGTGTGTGTAGCCCTCAGCTGGAAGTGGCCGGAATGCTCTGGCATTGATAGTTTTACTTTATCGTCCTTCCTCCCTTCCCACAGGAGGTTCAGGTGTCATTTTCCCATCATTTGGTCCAGTGACTAGGGGCGGTTGCCCATCCAGGTGAAAGGAGAGAGTCTTTCAGGACCTTCTGAGTGAGTGGCTGTGTGCCTTGTGTTCACTCCAGGGCTTTCTTGGCAGAGGAAGCGGTGGCCTGTCCTGCATCCCCACAAGTCCCATGTGGGAGACTCAGTGCTCACAGGACCACCCAGTTAGGAAAACCCTTTTCACGGCTTTGCCGTGTGAGCTGAAAACCTCCACCCAGCTCTTGGCTGGTTCCTGGCCATAGGCCTGTGTGCGCAGGCGTCAGCGGGAACCTCACCACCATCCTCCGGTGCTTCTTGTTTTGTTTTTCTTTCATGATCTGCAGCTGCTGTTTTTTAGGTTCAGTGGTGTCATTTCTCCTGTCGTCCCCTGCCACTGTCTTCTCCCTTCTGTTGTTCAGGTTCCTGGGATGAGCAGCGCGTGGCCCCGGACGCCTTTCAGGCCGCTTTTCTCTACCCTACACACAGCTTCTCTGCTCAGCTCCCATCCTCTTGAAGCGGCCGTGTTTGGGGTGGCAGGGGCTGTGTACTATCTGTGTGAGAGAGCGTTTACCAGCAGGTGGACCTCCTCCAAGGTTGGCCTCTCTCTGCCGGTGTGGGAATTCCCATCTCTCTGAGGGTGATGCCTCAGCTCCTGTCCTCCGCAAGAATTAACAGCCTGGGCACTTTGCTTCTGGTCCTTGATTCCAAGCTTGTGTAGGATGCGTAGGTCGTGCCATGATCTCATTCCAGAGGGGAAAGGACAACAAACTCAAAATGCAGCAGGGATTAGAGAGCCTACTGGGCATTTTTCTCTTGGAGCAAGTCTTTGGCAAGGGCAGTGCCCCTTCCTGGGAGGTCCCAGCCTGCATTCCTCCAGGGGCCTCCCCTGCGGCCAGAAGAGTTTGCTCAGGACCTGGGGGGGCTCAGCAGCCTCCCAACCCCAGGCAGCGCTGGGGCTCCGCCCACTGTGAAGGTGCTGTGGCCACTTGGGGCGGCACCTGTCATAAACTGCACCATGGTGGGCAGGGTGCTGCTTCACTGTGGAGAGAGGCTTACACTTTCTTTGTATTGATGTGGTTATTTTAAATTTTTTAAATCTGCATGTCATTGCATTTTTTTGGAGCTTTTTCTCACAGAAGGATACATTTTACTGGTATTTGAGCTTTCATGATTTAAAGACAGCAGCAAGAGCAGGTGCCACTGAACCCCCAGGTCCTGGCTTCTCAAGGCTCCCCCTCAGGGTGACCCAGCAGCTGCTATTTTTTATCACTCGTCTTGGAATAGAAAAAAGACCCCAAATGTGAATGCACACTTTCCTCTTGTCAGATCTCAGCCTTTTTCTATTTTAGACCTGGTTTGGGCAGAGTGTGGTCAGGTGCAGGGTGGCCTTCAGTGCCTCCCAATCCTGCCGGTCAGCATTTTATGACCAGCCTCCCAACAGAGATCCCTGCACAAAAACCAGGTAGTGCTTTAGGCAACACGAGGGTTCACTCTGGCCTTTATGGTCGAATTCTAAAAAAGGTTAGCCTAACTAAACTTAATAGTTGCTATTCTTATTTATTTAAAGTTGATATATAAAAGTTGATATATAAAAGCTTGAAAATTGGTGGTTATTTTGGATAGTTTTCAGGTATCTGCTACTTATGTATGACGTTTTTTGCCAATCAAGAACATTATAGAAAAGAAGTCTTTTCCCATTTCTCTGGCTCAGTAACTAGAGTTTTACACTCTGATCTCTGCTACCTAACTTTGCCCCTTTTCGTATAGTAAAATAGGACAAGAATATTCAATAAAAGTTTTGCGATCTTAATGACATGCACACAGGTTAAGTTCTGAGGCATGTCTGTCCGTGTAGCAGATTGTGACCTCTATTGGACTTTCCTAAATTTGAGGGTCATGTTGAAGTACAGAGAAGTAAGGGGACAGAATGGTGCTGGCCCCTGCCCACATCTAGCCATCAAGTGAGTTCAATGCCCCCTGCAGGAGTGACAAAGCAATATCCCTTAAACCCCTGCTGCTCTTTACATTTTGGAGCAGTAGCCGCTCAGCAAGGTCTGTAAAGTTTAATTTGATGTTGGGTATGTCAAATTACTGTTTCTCTCAATTGGGGGGGGGGGGGTACTTTTCTAGTAACTATCTGTCATTTTATTTCGTGTTGCATTAAAGTTTTGTTGTCCTTGGGAAGGCTCCAGAATTAAAACATTAGCATTTTACCTGATAAATATTATTTTACCGAAGGGTAGTCTGCTTGAAATAAAAAAGAAAAAAAAGAAACAGAAATCTATGATTCATACGAAGCACTGGATTTGCAGATGGTTCAAAGCAGGAAGTCGAAGGTACACTTGACTAAGCCCTTTTGCGACTAAAGAGAGGGCAGCACAAGCTGTCAGGTGAATTGTGTGTGGTACCATGTCCCCACAAATAAAAAGGAGTTGCTGTCTACTTGAAATGTGTAGCAGCCCAGGTATGCTGGTTGTGAAGTCAATGAAACTGGCACTGCTGGCTGACTTCCTGCACAGTGATGAGTGTTATGTGGCACTGTGCTAGGTGACAGACTTAGGAGTGACTACCTGGTTATTTGCTAGATCCACACATTATTTTGCTGCAGCTTAGCAAATTTATCATAGACTCAGCCAGCAGCGAGGTCCCATGCTCACGCTCACCACTGATGAATAGGAATGGCTGCAGAAAACTTCTGAAATATGGTGAAGCCGAGTAGGGCCACCGCTACTGTGTCGAGCCAGCTCTGCTTGTTTACTGCAGTTTCAACGCCTGACCTTCAAAGGCGCTCACTGTTCCCATTTGGCCCCACTCTTCCCAGGGCAGAGCGAACTACAGTGGATAATTGAACATGTCCATTTTATCCTATCGACTCTGTGAGCTGCTCTCAGAGAAAGAAAACTCTGAAGGGTGATTTTTTTCCCCCCCTAATGAGTGTTTTGGGCATCTTTGAGCAAATGATGCAGTGTTTCTGAACAAACCATGCCCTCCAAATACTAATGAGCTCCTCACATTAAAAATTCAATCGAGGGCTTTTTCCAAAGCATTTTTAAGCTGATTTAATCTTCCTTAAGTTTGCTTGAACAGAGATGATTTTGTATTGAGTTTCAGTAGGAAGCAGTAGTTCTCAAAGTACTTTTTTTAGTAAATGCTAATGTTTGTCAAGTTTGCAACCTAGATTTACTTTTGTTCCTCTCTGATTTGAAAGACCGAACCGGAGGCTAGAGCTCTGTAAACTGACTGCGTTCAGGCACAGCTCTCTCTTGGCTCCTGGGGCTGCAGGATGCCTGTGAGCGGTGCTGGCTGTGTGGGAGTGAATCCTGATGTGCTGTCCTGAAGACATTCAGTTTCAGTGTCACTGCACCACAATGGCCCCTTGAAGCCTGGCAGGGCCCAGTGCCCCAGACTGGTCCGTCTTTGCCTTAGATCCGCCAATCGAGCAGGGCCGGATGGAGAGCGGAGGGATCGGTTACATCAGCGTCTCCGTGCTGATTGCAGGGAGACTGTTAACAGGAGACGAAAGCCTTCTGAGTTTCTGCAGTCTTCCCGGTGCTGACTGCGGCTCACAGTTGTTGAAAAAACGTGGAGGCCTGTGGGGCAGCCCGGAGAAGCGGCCTTGCAGGCCGACCTCCCAGCCTCTGTTCACAAGGATTTTTTTCAAGTGTGCTGATGTAACTGATCACTAAATAATGCTTGTAATATAAAGTACTAACCACCATCTTTTGGCTATTCTGGGTACCACAAACCAGTTACAAAAATAGGACCAATGTTGCAGATTTGCTCTTTTATCTGTTAGTATAAAATGCCCCCAAAATAATAGTATCCTTGCCTAATTTTAGGAGAAAACTGACATAAAATTGGCTTAGAAGAACAAAATTTATTTGAAGATTTCAAGCATAAAAACACAGCTGTGCTTGATGGAATAGAATAACTTGAGTCAAAATACCCGAGTAGGGCTGGGGATGTGGCTCAAGCGGTAGCGTGCTCGCCTGGCATGCGTGCGGCCCGAGTTCGATCCTCAGCACCACATACAAACAAAGATGTTGTGTCCGCCGAAAACTAAAAAATAAACATTAAAAATTAAAAAAAAAATACCCAAGTAAATGAGAGGCTTTGACTGTGGACCTTTCCGTGGCTCCAGGGCTTTGCATGGTCCCGTCAGCCACCTAGAGTCTTGTGGTCCCCAGAGCAAGCCAGCTCTGTCCCAGTGATCGTGGGAAACCTCTTTTCCTCTCTGATGCTACTAACGAGGTGTCTGATCGGAAGGGGATCTTGCAATGCTGGGTGGGTGGGAGCTCCTGCTCACTGGCACCCTGAATTTCAGGAGGAGTTCTGCTTCCCCGTGGAATGCCTCGCCCTGACGGTGGAGGAGGTGATGCACATCCGCCAGGTGCTGGTGAAGGCAGAGCTGGAGAAGTACCAGCAGTACAAGGACATCTACACCGCCCTGAAGAAAGGAAAGGTAGTGCTGCTTCAGGTGGCCAGCAGGAGGGCTGGAGGGCTCGGCTCCTGGCCTGGCAGGCCTGGCTGCTGGCCGCAGGGCTCAGGACCTGGGCATTCAAGGGCAAGATCCATGCTCTTGTGACGGTCCTGTTCTGCCTCTCCCGCAGAGAGAAAAATCTGGAAGGTTTAAAGACCACCACAAAGATAGTGACCCACCTTCATAACTGTGTTAGTCACTAGACTTGGAAAGGGTCTGTACAGAAATGCTTAAGAGCGGGGGAGTGTTTCAGTATCGTCCTGCGGCGGCTGGGTAAAGCCCTGCCAGGACCACAGGCCTTCTGGATTCCCCTCCTGTCTATGAAACCTGCCCAGCCGGCGGGGCTGGCGGGGCAGCTGTCAACCCTGCTTCTTTTCTCTGACTTTGTGTTTTTTAGCTCTGCTTCTGTTGCCGAACCCGGAGGTTTTCCTTCTTCACCTGGTCTTACACCTGCCAGTTCTGTAAGAGGTAAGGTAACCTGGAATTGATGAAAAGATAAGATCAGCAGTCATGAAAGAAATGACCGTCACCTCCACTGTTTCTGCGTTCTTGGCCCAGGATATTAGGAACGGCCCCTTCTGCCTGGTCCCTTGTGCCATCCCTGCCAGTTAGAATCATCTGTTTCCCATGAAGGGTAGGCTAGACAGTGACTTGGTATTGAACTGGGAAACCGTTGGCTCATTATTTCTTTTACATAAGCAAGATAATTCTAATACTATGTCATGGGGGAATGGGAAAAAAAAAGAAAAGCAGGTATGATTGCCATGAGATTCAGGGTAGACTGATTAAAAACTTCCAAAGAGATATCAATTGGTCCTTTTATGAAAGACAAAGTAGGAGTTCAGCATTCCAGGTGCCACTTTGGCATCCACACCATCAACTTGTTAGGTTCTGGTGACGGGCAGTTGACTACAGAGATTCATGGTGGCCTCATCTGTTGTACATCAACTGATATTTCTGGTTTTGTCCGCAGACCCGTGTGCTCACAGTGCTGCAAAAAGGTAAGCTTCACTGGTTGAGTTGGACTGGGGCGGCTTACTGCCTGCCGCCTCAGCACTGCTCACACTGTTTTATTTGGGGTGACAGATGCGGCTGCCCTCCAAGCCATACTCCACTCTACCCATCTTCTCTCTGGGACCTTCCACCTTACAAAGAGGGGACAGTACTACCAGGTCAGAAAAGCCCCCGGCAAGCCACCAGCGGCCACTGCGCAGCATCGCCAGGTGAGGGGGGTTGTGCTCCAGGGGCATGTGTTGGCTTCAGTTTTAATAGTTTTGGACTTCCACATGAGTCCCAAATCTCCAAAGTTACCTTTGGGGGGACAATGGCTAGCTACTTAAAGGATACTCTAATAATGTAGTCTATTATTTTTCCTACTTTTGAAATAACTGCTTTATTACACCTTTTAAAAGTCATCTTTATGGGCTGGGGCTGTGGCTCAGCCGTAGAGCACTCACCTCGCACGTGCGAGACCCTGGGTTCGATCCTCAGCACCACATAAAAATAAATAAGTGAAATAAGGTATTGTGTCCAACCACAACTAAAAAAAATAAATATTGAAGAAAAAAGTCATCTTTAAAACTATTGTCAGTGGAATGAAAAATTGCATGTAACACTCTAATCCTTATTCCCTACCTAAGTTTTGGGGAAAAAAATAAATCTGTTCATTCCTGTGCTACAAGAGTCTGAAACAGCCCTGGGTCACTTCACTATGAAATAAAGCTCTATGCCCAAAGCTGGCAATTTAAAAGAAAAAAAAACTCATCCAAGTCTCAGTCATTTTGGATTCAGGGCAGGGCAAGGTTAGTGTTGGTCTTAAAAGAAAAATGGAAGGAGCCGGGCGCAGTGGCACACCTGTCATCCCAGTGGCTTGGGAGGCGGAAGTAGGAGGATGGCGAATTCAAAGCCAGCCTCAACAAAAAAGGAGGTGGTAAGCAACGCAGTGAGACCTTTCCTCTAAGTAAAATACAAATAGGGCTGAGGATATGGCTCAGTGGTTAAGTGCCCCTGAGTTCAATCCCCAGCACCCCCTGGGCCAAAAAGAAAAAGAAAAGGAAAATGGAAGGAAGAAAGCCAGCTCTGGTCATATGGTGGCAGGACAAAGCTAGGCTTAGAGGTGGGCACAGGCCTACTGGCAGAAAGATGGCAAATTCAAGGCCAGCCTGGGCAACTTAGCGAGACTCTATCTCAAAATAAAAAATAGAAAGGGCTGGGCATGTGGCTCAGTGGTTAAGCACTTGTGGGTTCAATCCCCAGTACAAAAAAAAAAAAAAAAAAAAGTAAATGAATAGCTGGTCCCGCAAACATGGCCAAAATGTCTGTGATCTCTGGAATCTAAGTTACCAGTTACCCAAAGGTAAAGATGGGGGAGGGGTGGCATATTGACACACAAATGACAGGAGAACTGATCAAAGACAATTTTTCAGAATGTGTCGTAGGATGAAGATAAATGTGCTTCAGTTTCCCATAATCTGACCCCCGTGCACCATTTACCAATGTCCTGTGCTCACGACACAGAGTCCCCAGACCCTTGGGAAGAAGTTATTCTTCTAAATCTCGTAGGGTGCTAGAGCAGCGTGCACCCTTGTGTCATTTGGCTGTTAAAATCCACCTGTATGTGTGTGGTAACCAGCAGATACCCAGGAGGCTCTGTTTTCTTTCTTTCTTTTCTTTCCTCCTCCTTTATAATATATATATATATATATATATATTTTTATTTGGTGTGTCAGGGATTGAGCCCAGGGGCACTTAACCACTGAGCCACTTCTTCAGCCATTTTTTAATAATTTTTTTTAGAGACAGAATCTCACTGAGCTGCTTAGGACCTTGCTGAGGTGCTGAGGCTGGCTTTGAACACGCAGTCCTCCTGCCTCAGCCCCCAGAGTTGCTGGGGTGACAGGTGTGTGCCCAGCTATTTCTGTTCCTTCTTAATGAAACATGTTTCCTGGTTTCTTTACTGAAAAATATTTTTAAATCTGTTTCCAGTGAGAAGTTCCTCTCTGGAAGGACCTGATTAGGCCACTCCCCAGCCCATGTTCTGGCAATAATAGTTGCTTTTTACCAATGTCCTCAGTACTGCAGCGGAAAAATAAGTAAGAATATTGAGTGGTTCTGGTTTTTCCCAGGTTCTCCTCAAAGTCTAAGTCTGTGGACAGGTCGGATGAAGAGCCGCACTTTCCCAAGGAGCTCATGGAGGACTGGAGCACCATGGAGGTGTGCGTGGACTGCAAGAAGTTCATCTCGGAAATCATCAGCTCCAGCCGGCGCAGCCTGGTGCTGGCCAACAAAAGAGCCCGGTTAAAAAGGAAAACACAGTCCTTCTATGTGTCCTCTCCTGGCCCCTCGGAGTACTGTCCTTCAGAGAGGACTATCAGTGAGATCTGAGCCGTGCCTTCCACTGGCTTCTGTGTGCAGAGTTGGGGCAGCCATGTCTGAGGATGCTGACCGGGCCGTTCCTTTCCGTGGTTTGACTAAACAGGCTTAAGTTTGCAGTGGACCAGACTCCTGCTGTATCACCTTGTCCCACAGGCTCTACGCTGAGTTCCCTCGACTGGTAATAGGAACAGGCCAGCCACCTGTTCGTTGGCCCTGAGAGGACAGTACTCTGGAACTTGCTTTGTGTGTGTGGATGTGGAGGCCGGAACCTTGCTGAGTCCAGTTCCTTGCCACCCCTCCAGTGATCCTGGCTGAGGCAGAAGCTGCTCCCGCACGTAGTCAGACAGAGATGTCGATGGCAGCAGGGCTGTGCGCAGGAAGGCACGTTGGCAGTTCCACCTGACAGTGTGCCTGTCCAGGGTGCCTGGTGATGGCGGGCCAGGCTGTCCATCGTCTCAGCACAACACCTGGAGGGACTTGCTGATGCCGTCCAGCTGACTGAAATCGTCATTGTTCCAAGGTTCAAGTTTGTGCTGGCACTGTAGTGCAGAGCATCTGAGGGAGCGGGGCCTCGAGGTGGCCACGTTGTCCTGGCGCCTGCATCAGTGTTGCTGAGCCTGTGACGGGCCTCCTTCCCCATCACGAGTGTATTTCAGTTACTGGGTGTCGTCATGAGGATCTGAGAATGACAGTTCTGTGGGAGTTTCAGGACAGAGGAAGGCTAAACTGTTCTCAAGCAGCTGAGGGTATTTGGTCAGCCCTGGAGTGGGCTGTGACCACAGAGGGTGCCGGGAGGAGGAGCTGGGGCTCAGCATTTTCAGCTGCGTTTTTCATGACTTTATAGTGCAGCCATCACGACTAAATTAAGCTACAATTTGGTACCTAAGGTCTCAAACTGAAATTTATTTTTATAAATGAATTTTGAAAGAAAAATGTCTAGCTCTTTTAAAATTATATGAAAATTAACCTGCTGACAGGCAAGATTTTTGGATGCTTTTTGCACTGATTTCCTGGTAGATAACTTGAGTGAAGGCTGGGTTTCGGATGAAGGAGGCCTGGAGGGCGGTTTCCCAGTTCCAGGGGCCCTTCTGTGGGCCAGCCTTTATTATTTTGGTATGCTTAGAAGTGACCAGCCAACCAAATCAGCATTAACGTTCAGAAAGTCACTTAATGCACGGGCACAGTAATTTCCTGAAAGCTGTAGTTCGTGTCTGTGGTCACACCCCAGCAGCCTAGGGAGCTGCGGGCATGGCAGTCACATTTCCAGCCACATTTCCATATTAAGTTAACAGTAATACCTCAGAACTGCTCTGGTAGTAGTTTTTAAAGGATTGAAATTTACAATTTAGTAAATGGCTTTAAATTACTGATACTTATGAAATAAACTTTAACAGTTGACTAAATAATACATGTTAACAGTTGGTCTGTGCTGCTTGTGAAAGCGGGTCCCCAGAACACGCTGCTGGCTGCTTCAGCCATGTTCAAGCCTTTTTTTAAAGAGCTTTAGAAATCACACCAGGGAAGCTTGCTTATGCAATTTTCCAAGAGACTCTGAACTTCACATTCCAGACAGTTAGGTGGGGCCACCTGCTTTGGTGGCCCTGGGTGTGAGCTTCTGAAGCAGCTACCAGGCAGGTCCTGAGGAGAGCAAGGGACGCAGATGGAGTTCACACAGTGTGCACTCGCATGCAGGGCGGTGACTAGTTCCACTGTGTGTGCAACACAAGAAATAAAGCCCAGGACGAGGATTTTACTCCTGTTCACAAAGCAGTGACCTGGTTAAACCCCTTGTCCCTTCACCTCCTCACATGGGATGACCGGGCATCACGGTCACCCCTTAGCAGGCTGTGAGGGTGTAGATTCTTCAGCAGCAGGGATGGGTTTGGCCAAGTGCACAGAGGTCAGATGGATGGCGTGTGGTTGAAACCACCAAAACCAGTAGGCATTGCCCGGGCTGCCAAGAAGGATTCTGAATTAGCCCTGGGATGTGTGCTGCAGGCTGCAGGAGGTAACTTCCTCAGGCTGACTCTTACCCCTAGGCTCCTGGCATGCCCTCCCTCTGCACCTTCCTCTGTCCTGACTGCCCACTGGGCCCCTCTGACTTCCACGCCAACAAGAAGCATGCTGGCCTCAGTGTCATCCAGCGCGTTTTGAACACTGTGCACATCTGAACGGTCACCCTCGTCTCACCCTCCTCTCATCCCTGAGTGCTGCTTCCTTTTGTCCCATTTGCCATGAGGTCACGTTGTCAGGAAATCTTCCCTCCTGTGGCTTGACTTTCCAGTCAGTGTCAGAGTATGTGAGAATGCTTGTAAATACTGTAGTGTATTTATTAATATTTAAGTCATTCATCCAGTGGACAGTGGGAATTAACTCTCCCCAGCCAGTAAAAATTAAGTCAGGTAAATGACATACATGTACATTGACCTAACGATCTCACTAGAGTTCAAGTCATGTCTTTCAAATTAAACCAGAGGTTGTTATGTAAACGAGTCTTAAAAATAATCTTATGTTAAAGAGATTATGTGATTAATACATGAACTCATTCCATGAAATTTTTAAGGCTTTTATTTTTCTAACTCTATTAATAAATATAGGACTGGATTTTAGGTGTCATACAGGAAATGTGAGAGTTTTAAATCATGTTGCTGTTTGCTAAAGCAAAACGGGAGATTCTATACATGCAAAACTACTGAAGGACCATGAAGAAGTATATGCTGCTGGCTGGGCCTTGACCCGGCTGCCACGTGTGTAGAAGCCGAGGTGCTGCGGCATTCAGGGTGACATGATGGGTACTCAGTGTTTTCCATTAAAGTATTTTAAAATTTATGTAGGAAAAAATAAAATGGCTTTGGTCATACCTCTGTGTTGTTCCTGTTGTAAAACAGTGATGTCTTTTGGTGAGTGGCTGTTAAATCACTGGGGTCAAGGCAGGTACTCTCCACAGCAAATCCTGGGCATTGAAGAAATGTGATCTGCAGGGACCCCCTGGAAAGACAAGGCCGTCAGCCCCGGGACTGCAGTGTTATCAGGCAGTGTGACTCTTCTTTGTTTTTATAACCTCATGTGGGAGATTAAAATAGATTATATAGCATTTTATTATATATGGAGACAGACTATAGATAATGTTTTTATAACAGCTTTCTGGATAACAGATACCAAAACCAAAAAGTCACCTTAACATTTTTATGTCATTTGATGAGTTTGGGATAAGACCTTCCCCCTCCCCCTTTTTTATAGGATGAGGGCTGTGTCTCAGGCTGGTACACTTTAAATAGCATTCCTCAAAGAACATATTCCTAAATGGTGAATTTAGAGAAATTTGTTGACCTTGAGCATAGTTTCAACAGTGTGTGATAATTTAATTTGATATTAATCCATTTTACACAAACCTGTCTTCTCAGTTGCCTGACTTGTTTTGTTTTGTTTTTTAGGTACTGGGAATTGCACCCAGGGGTGCTTAAGCACTGAGCCTCATCCTCAGCCCTCTTTTATATTTTATTTAGAGACAGGGTCTTGCTGAGTTGCGTAGGACTAATTCACTTAAGTTGCTGAGGCTGGCTTTGAACTTGCCGTCTTCCTGTCTCAGCCTCCCCAGCCACTGGGATTACCAACATGCGCCACTGTACCCACCTGCCTGACATTTTTTTAGGAGCTCTTTTTACTGGAGTTTCTCTGTAATATGTAGAGAACAAGACCAGTGTGTGTCACTGTATGTCCACCTCATGACCCAAACATTCAGTGACCTTCTAAGTCCAGGACCGAACTCTTGAATCCAGAGATACAGAAAATTGGGATACCATAAATGGTCAGAGGTTTATGTGATTCTGTAAATGTATTTTTTTTCCCCAGCTTCGACAGAGGAAAAGATTTGTCCTTGTAAATCATGAGTCTGCAGTATCCTAGAGGGGACTACTTTCAGGAAGGGACTCCATTCTGCATGCACCGTGCACTGGTCACATTGCTGATGAGCCTGGGCCACCTTCCCTCTTGTCATCCAGAGACATGACAGAATCTAGAAACGGCTCCCTTTGCCCACCCCAAAAAAGTTTAGAAGCCAAGTGCCTGGTTAGTACAGAGCCACGCTCAGCAGCATGTGTGTGGCAGATGGAGTTCGCTGTCTCCCAGCTCATCCCATTAAAACATGGTGACGTTGTGGAACTATTTAGATTTCACTGCACAGAGCTCTGGCCAACCCAAGAGCCATGATGTGGAAGTGCTGAAGAGGGGCTCCAGACCTGGAGGGCAGGGCTCCTGGGAGGGGCATCAAGAAGCTGCTCACTGTCCCCGGGGAGAGGGGCCTGACCCCTTGCCTCACTCGGCACCCAGAGGGCCAGACGCACTGGGTCTCGCCGGCTGCTGTATCAAGCCTGGGTCAGCTGTGAGTTAAGGAGGGGTGCCCTTCCCGGGCTGCGGCCAGCGAAGAGGCCCGGCCTTGAACAACCAGCCCATCTGATGTTGCCCCTTTTATATTTGCCGCTCCACTTGGGAGTGTGGTTCTGACCCCAGCAGTCACCTGCCTCCTCCTCCAGAGCCCTTCCTGAGGGGGGCAACAGAGAACCTCACACCTCCCAGGACAGGCAAACGGCCCAAGGTCAGGGGAGTCAGGAGCAGCCACAGGGAGCAAAGGTGAGCCTTGAGCAGGGCGACTTCTGGGGCGAAGCTTTGGCCTTCTAGCAGCAACGCAGCCTGTCCCCCACCCCCAGGAAGCACAGGCTGACACGCAGCCCCAGGGCCTCCTACCCCGACACCTGGTCACCTGGAGTCAGCTGCACAGAGCACATTAGGAACAAGTGCCCAGGGGTACCTGGCCCCTGGGGTCCCCCAGGTCCAGCAGTGGCTGAAGCTTCCTTGTAGGCGGTAGAGCCCTCTCCACTCCCAAGTGACATCTCTAGCAAAAAGGCCTTTGCAGGACCCAAGAGCTTCCATCCTGATACTGAAGGGAAAAGAAGAAAAGCCTAGCTAGCAAAGGAGAGTCTTCATGAGCACCCGGTTCTCACAGATCAGAAATGGTACTAAGGAAACTGCTCCTGCTCAGCTCACGAAGGCTCCTGAACACTTATGGATATGTTTCTTCAATTTTAAAATGAGGATGTTAGCCTAGGTGGTCACGATGTCATTTTTTACCCAGAGAGAGACTGGAGCTACTGTGTTAAACCTCCAGGACCACGCAGGCACCAGCCAGCAACTGCGTTAAAACCTGACCTGCTGTGACTAGAAGTGGCGAAGAGTCTGTGGAGCCCCCGCCAGCCTTCACAGCCTTCACCCAAGTGTGGCGTAGCTGATGCTTTCTGAGCAGTCTCTCTCTCTCTCTCTTTTTTTTTTCTTTTGCACAGTGCTGGAAACTGAACACAGGGCCCCATGAAATGCCCAGCAAGAGCTCTATCACGGAGATACACCTCTAACCCTTTTTATTTTTTTATTTAAAGATAGATAAAGTCTCGCTGGCCTCAAACTCATGATCCTCTCTGCCTCAGCCTCTCAGGTCACTGGGATCACAGGCGTGTACCACAGTGCCTGGCTTTAAGTAGTGCCTCTCTGTCTGAAGACAAGCTGGTTGTGAACATTACCTAGAAGCAGGAAAAAGTGCAAACTGGGCTTGGTTTATCTGTAGCTCCAGGCAGAGGCCAATCAGTTTCACCAGTTGTTGTAAAGACCTGAGTCCATCTCTCAGAATTAAAAAGAAAACCCTCAGTGATGAGTGTCAGACACAGGAGACCCTGTGCGCCAGCGTCTTCCTCTGGCACCTTCTGGGCTCCGCGGTCCCCTTGGGTTCTGCTGGAGACCGGGCCTCATCTGCCCTGGCAGAAGCAGGGGCTCGGTCTCTGTGACCCATGCTGTGCTGCCTACTTCCTGTTGGAGATATAAAGAGAAGCGTGGTGGCGGGGGACACGACATGAGCAGGCTATTTTCACTTACTTGTTGTACATGGCAACACAAATGCCATTTTTGGAAACAAATATCCAGGCAAGTCAGCATGGCTGCCAATGTTCCCTATCCTGCTGGCTAGAGTCGATGACGTCCCCAGTGAGGTGGCTGGCCTTCGATGCTGCACCCTCCAGCCCCACCTGATGCCTCTCCACAGCTGATGCTCAGAGCTGATGTGGCCTCCTTCCCGCACCAGCCAGTGGCAGGAGTGGTCCTCAGCCTCTGCTGATGGGCGCTCTCAGTGCTGAATGGACAAGGTGCACCTTCTTCCCTGCACAGTGCCATCTTCCTTGCACAATGCCAACTTGCAAGTTCCACCCTCACGTACTTTGCTCCCATCCTTGACTTGCTCGCGACATTCTCTCCCCGCTGTATGTGGGCCTGTGTGTTTCCCCCTCGGCTCTTAGCATCCCATATCCCACTTCATTGTTCCATGAAAACAAGAATCTCGGCCATATTTCTTCCCTGTCCTATGTATCCCAGTTTCTGAAATAAATAGCTGGCATGAAGTAGGTGCTCAGTAAGTGCAGAGTGAGTTAACAGCATGTTCAAGATGGGAATAAGTGAGAAACACAAAGATGGATCCATGAGGATGTCAGAGCACCTGGCAGTGTGCTGACA